GCCTCACAGATTGAGCCTCGAGACACAGAAGCTGCGCCTCACAGTGAGGCGGGCCTCAGGAGGGTTTTTTCATACCATGGACAAGTTCATTGATAAACGAAGAGAAACTGGTATAACTGACATTTATCACATCAACAGATAAATAATATTGATCACTCCATTTCCTTTATTAGCAAATTGCATAGGATTCTTGATGCGAGCTAATGACAACATGACATCACTTCATTGTGCTTACGCACAATGACCAAATCCCATCTTATTTTCCAAAATTGTTCTCAATCCGTCGACCATTGACCACAGGCCAAACCACATTTATCCATATCATAAAAGGAAATTATTCATCATAAATATTTAAGCCCTCAACAACTAATGCACATTAAAAGTGCTCAATACTGCCTTAGTTGGCTATCAATTACATGATTCAAAGTAGAAAATCAGCTAAAGTCTAGTACCTTCAATAACTGTCTCATTAATAGGTTTTAAACTCAACTGGCCGACATTTAAAAGCTCATATTAGGAACATATATTCCTATATATGCGACTTTAAATTTTTGTCTCCGTAAGATTTAAGAGGCACTTATATAAACACAAAATACTCGTAAAATGTAATCACAGAGTGATAACTAAAACACAAGATGCTCACAAGTCACAAACCATTGCAAGATGAAATGCAGACAGTTATCCATTTCTTTTCTCATAAGGCTTCCGGATTTCAAATATTATTATGGTGGGCTCATAAAGGGTAAAGTCCTATAGAAAGAGAAGTTCCATTTCTTTATAATTCATCCTTCAATTTGTATCTTCTAAAAATATACAGTTTATCTTGATTATCCTTTCCAGGTTTCAATGGAAACTTTCATTTCTCTCAGCTAAACTAAAATTTTCCCATCTCTTCAAACATAAAGAACCATAAAACACTGCCTAGAATCTGCCTTTCCGAAATTTTCCAAACCCAAAAAAAAAAAATAATAATAATAATAATAAAGGATAAACCCTAATTCCTAAAACCTAAAATCCCATTCCTACCCAACCATAAAACTCAAAGAAAGCCCCAAGCGTCCAAGTTCCGCAGACCCCGAAAATATCCCAAACTGACTAAATAAAAGTAGATTTTTGATTTTTTTATTTTTTTGAAATAAAAACTTATAATACGTGTTACACATATGGTTTTGCATTTGTACGGTTGACACCTGAAAGACAGGAAGGGCAACGAACTGTTCAAGCTTGAGCGTGAGCTGGTGCCAGAGCTTCCGCTGGTAGAGATCTGCAAGCGTGTTGTACCACTCCGAAAGCTCCGGATGCGCAGTGCGAAGGGACTCTAGGTACTCAAAAGCCGCCATTTTTCC